GTTTCCAGGAGCCTAAGCTGAGTATTGGCCTCAGCAGATTTGTACCAGGTTGATATGTAGGGGTATGTTCCCGGGCCCCGGTTGTCTCATTGGAATGGAAATGCTATGTTTCTCCAAAAAAAAAAAAAAAAAAAAAGAGTAGCCGAGCACGTTTTAACACCGCCATCTTTGACAATTTTTCATTTTTTTTGGCTCGGCAAAATGCCTTGAAAATTTATATGTGTGTAGCGCATATCCTACAGAACTTACCAAAAACATTTCAACAAAAAAAATTCATTTTTAGGCCCCAAAATAATTTCTGGCGGGGGCCGAACCCCTTCAGGTTCGGCCCCCGAACGGGACCCTGAACGCCCGAACGTTCGGGGGTCAGCCCGGGGGCCCCCGAACGTCCGGCCTTGTAACCATGTATATATGTATATTGTCAAACAGAGCTGCCCGGTAAACCGTAGGCAGAGAGGGAGAAGAGGACAACAAACGAGGGGCTGTGACAAACTGTTTCATCGGAGTTTCACCATCTCATCAGGAGGCTGAACCTATATATTGTCACATAACTATGAACTAAAAGCGCGCACGTTGTGAAACAAATGGCAGAAACAAAAAATTAAAAACAAGACAAACATGAAGGGCACACTGAAACCATTCATTTTTCTCATTCTTCTTTTAACTGCCCCTTCACCGTGCCTCTCACGTACAAGGCTTGCCACGTTGATGAAGTCGAGCGCGAGCTGCCCCCATCCCCGTGTACCATAACGGTCCACTTGTACGCTGCGAGAAAGAGGCAGAGTGAAGGGGGAGGGGATAAACACAGGGAGGAGAGATGGAGAGCAAACAAACAAAGAACGATAAAGGGAAAGTAAGGGAAAGTACGGACTGTGGAGATTCAAGACTGAGTCTCTCCTTGACGACAGAGAGGACATGCATTGTAAGGATGAGGTGGATGAACACATGGAAGACCTAGCCGAGCATTCTCAGTTCAACAATTGCCACGACGGCTGGCATTGAGCATACCCACGATACACCACCGACAAATGGTTGTCGATTGCAGGCCAAAATGAAAGACGAACGGTCACCACAAAAGCACATGCATTCCGTACAGCGCCCATGGCCGCACAATGGACATATAGTGTCTGGATGCGGAGGGTGCCTGCAGTCAGGAACAGAGGGACAGTCCTGTGCACACATGGATGCAGAAACCATATCATTGTAGTGATTGTGACAGAGACGATGGCGGCTACAACCGAGCGTAACAGTGTTTGTGGCTGTGCAAAAGAGAAGGTCGCACAGTGTTGGTACATTGTTTTGCTGCAGCATGGGGCCAGAGGAATGATCTTCGACATAAAAGAGATTGCGGACGGTTTGTTGCGGCAAGAAAACAGCATCATTTTGTAAGAAATCAGTGACATCAGTCATGGCATGGACCATGGTGCCGCTGTCCCACAGCTCCCAGTGGTCAGAGGCATGTACAATGGCCATGTAATGGCCAGGCCCGTGCACAATGCAAGCAGAGATGTGGAATGGAGGATTAAACCACTTACTTGCTCGGGCATTGCGTAGTTCAAGTTGACGGTCCCTCATTGCTACTTGTAGGACAGCAATGGTAAAGCCTCCTTCGCTGGTATAATTACAATCCTCTGGCTGTGCAATCAGACTCACTTTCTTCTCACTTCGCATGCATGTAAACAGATGGCAAATCACCCTGGCGCCAGGCGCCCACACAAAGCTCAGAGATATTACAGGCGAGAACACAGTTCAGATACAAACTCGCTTCAAGTAACTATGGCGCGTGTGCGCCCTTACATCATCCCCCACAAAACTATCCTCACAACTTGTTCACACGCACACTTCACTGGATCTCCCTGGATATCCCACGCGCACACACTCTTACTGCACACTCGTACACACACATTGAAGACTACTCTAACCTATCGCAGCTATGACTGGTTAGCAAACTATGGCGCATGTGCGCCCTTACATCATCCCCCACGACACTGTATCCTCACAACTTTTTCACGCACACTTCACTGGATCTCCCTGGATATCCCACGCGCACACACTCTCAGTGCTCACACGTACACACACACACTGAAGACTACTCTAACCTAGCGCAGCTATGGCTGCCCGCTAACCCTATCACTACTAGCAGCTATGGCTGCTCTGTTTCCCTTGCAGCCCACTTCAGCTTCGGGCAACCGCAGACCAGCTCACACAAGACGCACTGGCAGCGCTTCTGCTTGGCTCGCAGCAGAATGAATGAATTGCTGGACGCTGCCTCTAGATTTATACTTCTGGGCCCTTGGTGCACCCAGTCCCACATGGTACCTTCTGACTGGACAAAGTGTGACTGGGACCGGATACTGCTGACTTGAGTTGGACTCCCCACTTGCCCACTTGCCTCTGGTCCAATGTGAGCAAAGACTCGAAAGGCCACTTCCGGGCCTTTCGGGACTGTAGCAGCTACGACCTTGGCCTTTCAGGACTGTAGCAGCTACGACCTTGACCTTTCAGGACTGTAGCAGCTACGACCTCTACACAGCTGTGCCCCCTATTCAACAGACCTACAGAGCGAACCCCTACAACTACACAAACCTACGACAGACAACAGTGAACTACCAAAACACAGGTCACGGGTTCAAACACACAGGGGTCGACTCGATACTGTACACGGGTGTGGTAAGGTCTAGGGATCAAGCCCTGGGATCTGCATCTGCGACTGCTAAGGTGAAAAACTATTTCAGCTGTAGTTGGGGAAGATTAGCATCAAGCTGAAGGGCGATTGCAAGGAAGTCTGATGGTGTATAAAACGGGCGGTGGAGAATGTGAAGACAGATATTAGTTGCCGTCAGACCACAGAGATTTGTTGGATGCTGGCCAACAATTTGCAGATCACCCAGATGGTGTTGCAAGGCCATACTGTGTTGGGTTATTTTCTGGTCAGTCATTTGCAGACCACCCATGTGGTCTGCGCGTGGCGGAGCACAAATTTGTGGTTCACCCGAACAGTGCTGGTCAACCATTTGCAGATCCCCCATGTGGTTTACGCCTCCTGGGCTCAACTGCAATCCGGGCAGATCATGTTCCAATCCCTCAACGTTAAGGGCTGCATCCTGAGTACCGACTGTCCCTGGAGTCAGGAGTGTACTCTGGGCAGGGACCACATCGTGTTGTACAGGTGAGTCATGAACATCTAACGCCGCAGGGTATAAAACATGGTGCCGTGGCTGCCTGCAGGCAGCTGGACTATCTGCAGAAGGCATAGGAGCGGATATTGCCATCTGAAATGAAGGAACCGCAACAACCTGTGGAGGAGGCACAGAGAGAATCGGGGCAGACAAAGAAACAGGTTGTTGATCCCCGGGCAAGTGTCGATGCCGCGGATGTCGTTGGTGATACACAACAAGAGGAGTAGTGGTGTTGCAAACAGAAGATGAACTTGTCCCTAGCAACGAACGTGGAACAATGAGAACAATGGAAACTGGAGAGTCTGTTCGCAAGCGAGACCGTGGAGTAGATGGGGGTGGTGAGGAGGAACGTAGCCGTCTGGGGTCAACTGCAATCCGGGCAGATCATGTTCCAATCCCTCAACGTTAAGGGCTGCATCCTGAGCACTGACTGTCCCTGGAGTCGGGAGTGTACTCTGGGCAGGGACCACATCGTGTTGTACAGGTGAGTCGTGAACATCTAACGCCGCAGGGTATAAAACATGGTGCCGTGGTCCTTTACTCCAAAATCTTGCCCAATCCACTCCCCTCTCATCTCTTTCTGTGCTTGGCCGCAGACGGCTATGTTCCTCCTCACCACCCCCATCTACTCCATGGTCTTGCTTGCGGACAGACTCTCCAGTTTCCATTGTTCTCATTGTTCCACGTTCGTTGCTAGCGACAAGTTCATCTTCTGTTTGCAACACCACTACTCCTCTTGTTGTGTATCACCAACGACATCCGCGGCATCGACACTTGCCCGGGGATCAACAACCTGTTTCTTTGTCTGCCCCGATTCTCTCTGTGCCTCCTCCACAGGTTGTTGCGGTTCCTTCATGTCAGATGGCAATATCCGCTCCTATGCCTTCTGCAGATAGTCCAGCTGCCTGCAGGCAGCAACGACACCATGTTTTATACCCTGCGGCGTTAGATGTTCACGACTCACCTGTACAACACGATGTGGTCCCTGCCTAGAGTACACTCCCGACTCCAGGGACAGTCCGTACTCAGGATGCAGCCCTTAACGTTGAGGGATTGGAACATGATCTGCCCGGATTGCAGTTGACCCCAGGAGGCGTAAACAACATGGGGGATCTGCAAATGGTTGACCAGCAACTGCAATCCGGGCAGATCATGTTCCAATCCCTCAACGTTAAGGGCTGCATCCTGAGCACAGACTGTCCCTGGAGTCGGGAGTGTACCCTTCTTTGCACTGGAGCTGCATGAGAGGAAGCTGTACGAGGAAAAAATACAGTAGGGGGATTTACAGTTATCAAAACTGCTGTACTGAAAACTGCAGCAGTGGAAACCGCAGCAGTGGAAATATATCGATGTATAGTTTCTAGAATTTGGTCGAATCATGAAGGTAGTCTCTTATTATGGTGTTGGATCCTAAGTCTTTATGGTTTTGTCTTTTGTTTTCGAACTCACAACGAAGTTGCCTTGACTGGTGCCCCTCTTATGATTCACAAATGAATTGCTTTATTTTTCTCTTGTTTTTTTTATTTTCATTTTTTTTATTTTATGTTTCACCACAATATAGTTTTGCCCGGCCAGGCAACTTGCCCCGGGCCACCCTGGTTGCCTAGGTCAGAATATAATCATTGGGATTCAGATGGGTGGGTCTGTGGTGCTGTGTGCCTTATCTGTTGCGTGTTGCCATCCACGATCTCTGAAGTCATCAGCTTTTCAAGTCAACCCCCTCCAGAACTTGAAATCATTCACAGAGAACACCATCACTCAACAGAAGGATGGAGTATAGAGGGAGGGATCTATTGAAGGGATCTTGAGGCCAGACATTACCTTACGGGTTATCCCAGGTCTGGAGACAAAAAATGCAAACGTAAGCACCAGGGTGATTGTTGAAACTGCCACACCCAGGAATGGAGTGTCGTTCTTCACTGTCGCAACCAATCCCCATACAGTTACAGCAAGTGCTACAAGACATAGTATCAAAAATGACCCACTGCAAAATATTGGGAAACAGAAACATGAACAAATATTGTGAGGTGACACAAACAGCCACTAATGCCATTCAAACCTAAGTACTTCCTCAACTCTCTCTCTCTCTCTCTCTCTCTCTCTCTCCCCCCCCCTCCCCTGCCACCTTGTCTATCCTTCCTTTCCTCTCTCCTTTGCCCACCGCTGTAGTTTTTGTGTTGCTGAACTATCCTTGTTGCCTGGAAAGCCCATGGGACTCTTTCTTGAATGGGGTGTTGTGCACATGCAATCGACATGATTTTGAACATGTTTGCAATCAAGAGAAAGAAAGGCCCATAGGAACTGGTTTTCGATGAACTGCAAGCCTTCACAAACAAACAGTTTGACACAAAGATCGCAAGCACATCGATCAACAAAAGAAATGATCTTAACGGGCAGTGCGCAATAGAACAGAAAGCAGAGTTTACGATAAAAATACACCAAGGAAAACCCTGTGACACAGAAATTATGCAATGGCATCCGGGAAAGAAAAAAAAAACACCCGACACATACACGAACCAGCCTCATTAAGGCAAGTACTCCAGAAACACTACCTAAATGAATTTCTTGCTCTCTACAGCTGCAAATCCACTGTGTGAATCGCGACCAACATTGCGCAAGGCATGCATGTTCCCTTTGCACCACCTTGCAAAACCATGAGCACCGGTGCACGGAACAAGGAAATTCCTCGCTATTTGCATTACGATTCACATCACCAAATCACAAAACCGAAGGCTACATCAGAGCAGAACCCCTGCAGCCTGTTGGAATTGCACTTCAAAATCCTTCATTGGCGAAATTTTCATGGTGCATTCTTCTGCCCACTTCAGGTGAGCTTCAAATAAGTGGATCAAAAATCAACTGCCAGAAACAATAGTATCCGTGTAAGCGGGACCTCACCAGTTTTCTGTTCCTTCACAGAGGTGAGGCCATTTGAAGTCCTTGGGTTCCGTGGATCCGTCTGAATGCGTCCACCCAGCTAAATCAGTAAGGGCATTACATATTCTAGTAGCCCACCCAGTCCGCCCCCCGTTCTCACAATGGACATCATAAGTGGCTAAACCATAACCCCTTTAAAGTTTAAAGGCCTTACAAAACCCGTCCATTCGAGCATGAGCAATCTAATAGCCAGAATCAAAAGAAGTCAACGATATCATTTTGATGTCAGGCAATGAAGTCGAACAGCTCCTTGGGACTTCTTCGAATGTATCTGACCACTGGGACTATTTTGAGCATACTCACACTGGGACTTCTTTTTTTTTTAACATCCCAGGCAAGTCCTTCGGTCCTGTGGCGGTAAGAGAACCAGCAGGCTCGAGGATGTGTACGGGATGACTCCATTCCGTTGGTGGGGAGCCTCACCTGCTGGAAACCAGGTCCAGCATCCCATTTTACAGAAAAGATATGTGACTGGGACCATAACCCGGCTTCAGTTAAGAACACAAAAGCAGCTAAAACTATTGGAACTGCCTCAATGGTATAGGCAAATAATAACTTGCTGAGATGCCTGATCATATGGACGACTCTCCTGCTAATCCAAGGGAGACAGAAATGATGGCGACATCAGATATAAGTTCCACTGGGACAATAAAAAGAAAAACAAAAAAAAAATCCACTGGGACATCTTATGGGCAAACAGCTACTTACGGCATACTCACACTGCGGTATTTTCTGAATGTATCTGACTGCAGTTACGGGTAGACAGCTCCCTAGGGCATACTCACACTGGGACTTTTGTGAATATCTCTCACTGTAGTTACGGGTGAACAGTTTCTTAGAGCATACCAGCAGATGGCTCCTTTGGGCACACTCACAGTGGGAATTCTTTGAACTTCTCTCACTTTATGGGCAGAGCTTGATGTGTGCAACCACAATCACGTCCACACGGTACCACCCAGTGCCCGTAGCATGATCCATCCGGCATGGTGCCACCAAACCCGCTTAGTATGAACCGCACCGTATATGATGCATGCTCATCTGGAGATGAGCGATGCACAGGTCCAAAGGAGCACCAACGTGATGAATAGGACTCAGGACGAATAATGTGAACAGCAAATAAGCAACGTGCATCCAGAAAAGAGAAGGAGTAATGCAACAGCGCAAGACTCAAAGATATGACCTGACTCGTCAGACTCAGGCTCCACTCACACAGACGTCATCGCACATGTCGAATCAGCAAGGAGGGGAACATACATGGAAGAAAGATGCCTCCTTGCCCACACACATGGGAAAGAAACTACAGATGATGGAGGTGGGGGAGGAGACGAACGAGGAGGAAGGGCGAGAACACAAGAGAATAACTCGAGGGGCAAAAAAGTGAGCCTGGGCCTATAGGTTGGCCGGGCCCACCAAGTAGCGCGGCCAGTGGGCTAAACGGCATGGGGGGCGGATAGAAGACATGACAGGCCAAAAAGGGCCCGTGTAGTGGCGCAGGTCTTCCGATTGGGGGATGTGCTGAAAGGAATCAAAAGATAAAGAAAAGGGGAAGCACAAAGAGAAGTCAGAAGAAGGTTCGCCAGCGCAGGGATATGTGATATATGATGGGTAAAAAAGATCAGGACGAAGAGGGGAGAACGCAATTTTTTTTGTTAAGCTTTGCTCGGACAGTTATCATGACATGATCAGTCTGGAAGTGACCACGCTGTGCACACAACAATTGAAGCACACCTGCATGTTAGCCAATTGGCCCCAAAAGAGAGGGATGGACAAACCTCGTTTCCTCCTCGTCTTTCCCCTAATCATCTTTGTCCTCATGCTTCACTTGTTCGATCCGACGTCATCCCACGCCTCCATGTTATCTTATCGCTCCTTCACGTTACCCTTCCCGTCTTCGTCCTCCACAGCCTCCTTGTTGTTTTCTCCCTCCTCCTCTTCCCTCTTCTCATCTTCCCTCTCACCCTCATGTTTGCCATCGTCATCTTCGGCCTTATGCAAGGATCACACATCATCCCACACCTCTGTGTTATCCTACCCCTCCATCACGTTACCCTTCCCCTCTTCTCGCTCCACAGCCTCCTTGTTGTCTTCTCCCTCCTCTTCTTCCCTCTTCTCATCTTCGCTCTCGTCCTCATATTTGTCATCATCATCTTTGGCCTTGTCTTCCTCCCTCGCCTTCTGGTTCTTCTGCATTCTAAAGCTTCATGACATCATATCCTGAGAAAAAAAAGAGGCAGCGGCAGATCTCGTCATTGTTCCCATCCTCCGGGCCTTTCGCCTTGTCATCTTCGTCCTCCTCTTCCGTCCACCTTCATGTAACGACGAATGGAGACATGCATGGAGGGATGCGACCGGGACGATGGATTGACACGTACAGATAGGGAGGACTAACATATTGGGGAAGTGGAGGGATGAGGGGAGGATCAAGTCGATAAGAAAGAAGGAAAAGATGGAGATGACGGTGGCGATAAGGCCAGGCTTGTGAACACGTGGCAGATGGATGAGTGATCGCGAATGACTCACTTGAATCCACTGCATGCACAATGTCCAGAATGCACAATCACATTGAAGGCCAGACAGTATCACCGTGTCCAGAAAGCAGAAATGCACCAATATAACACCAATGAAGAATCGTAACACTGAAAACCAATGTCAATGAGAGCTTGTTCTCGCCACCACCAACATGAGTGTCCATGCCCTATCTCACTACTTGGCGCTCGGCGCCCAACCTACTTCCTACACAGCTACAGTCTGCCTCGTAATTGACAATGCAACTGTTGACGTCAGCAGCTCACGAAGTACTTGAAGATGTCGCCCAATGCAAACCATCGCCAATACCAGGTATGTGCCCTCACATCATCATCATCATCCTTCTCTCTCCCCTTACTTACTCCCACGTCTTCCTTATGTACACCCGAAGACCACCCTTGCGCCTCACTGTAGTCCAAGCCCATCCAGCTATGGAGGCTGGGCTATGGTGCTGCCCTCAGCAGCGCCCTGCTTCCTGCACGACTGCACACGCTAGCCCCTTGACTCTCAGCGCCAGCAGCAGCCTATGAGTGCCCGCTCCAGCAGCATTGCACCAGCATGCAAGTGTTGAACACCCTTCCAGGCAGCGAGCTCTCTCCTATATGGAAAGGACCTACCTGCCTTCGCAGCCTGACTGCCCTGGGCCTCGGCCCAGAAGCTTCCGGTAGGCCCCAGGTGGTTGCGCCTCTGATGCAGCTACTGGGCCTCGTTCAGTTGGGTCTCCCAACTGTCTGTGTATGAGGCTGCGATTCTTGTCCAGGGCCTGCATCTTCGGAAAGGCCCGGAAGGCCATGGAAGGTCTTTGCTGCTCGGCCTGTGTTTTCCCCCAACCAACTGGCACATCAAAACTGCCTGGACCCCAATACGAAATTGACAGTCGAGGGCCTCTCATGATTTGTTAGGCCCGCCTTCACTTAGGGCGGGCACATCTGTAGTAGGGGCCCCTTAGGCCTGTCGAGGACCCAGATCCTCGCATTCCCTCCTCCTTTACTTCGACAGTCCTCTGAGAAGTCTTCTATTCTGCAGACATCCTCCCCTTGAGTTCTCTTTCCTAGCCTACAATAACTTGAGGTGCAGTTCTCACGAGTTCTTCTCTAGTGAGCCACCGATCTTCGTCGGGATCCAGATGATGTCTAAATCTGACACGGTATTGCCTTCTCGGCTTAGGAGGGCGGCCTCTGCCAGGTGGTCGGGGTATCGGCATCACTCGATGCTCCACAATCTGGTTGATGTCCACATCACCATCCATGGTTGGGGGCACCATTGACCGTCTGGAAGGAAACTGTGCAGACTCTGCGAAAGGTCCCAGCTTTGATGTGTGAAAAACTGGGTATGTACGTAAATGAGGTGGGACGTGAATCACATAAGAAGGTCCGTCAACCTGATCCCCCACTATGTCTAGGACCTCCCAGGGACCGAAATATTGTGGCATTAGTTTTCTAGATATTCTCAGTTCCTGTCCCAGTTCAGACGACTTTACCCAGACCCCGTCCCCTACCTGAAAGTTAGAAGGCCGTATGT